TGACAAGGAGTAAACCCAATGTTAACAGGTCATGCACTGTTTATGATTCTTTACTGACTACTCAAATTTTGCCCTGGATGCATAATACACTTGTGATTAAGCCTAGCTTGACAATAAAGAGTTCGCACTATAACCTTTTACTAACCTAATATTATCTACAACACGATTCCTTTACTTTATATTAGCTTTCAAAGGCAAATTCTTTATTCGGGGACGTTAATATTAATTTTTTTAATAAAATTGTACAAATACCGTATTTTGGGCTGTTTGCATTCTATCTTTCTTTTATCACCAGTTTGCCAAGTGTAAGTTCCTATATCAGGCCAACAATTCTTGTCGATGATTATTTCTTTTCTCCATTTTGTCACAACGTTCACGTTTAAGAGTACTTACAGCTGCATTTCTTATTGGCAGATCCGAAAAAGCCTTTTCAGTCAAGTTGCTGCATGATGTGTACTGCTTTCGACTCTTTCATGGTGCTTCCTGTGAAATAATTTATGAGTCCAAATTTGGTCTTTTCATGCGAATTATATGTGTCCCAAATGTTGCTTATCAATAAGTATTGCATTCTTTGATTTTCTTTATCTGATAGTTACTATTGTTCTTGGTGTTTGATTCACAGCTCTACGGGGAGTTTGGTGCCCCCTATCGACTCCATAGTATTTCTGGTATCAGTATTATTCCAGCTTCATATTTCCTTTAGTTTTTAAGTCTTTTCTTATGTGCACATCATTCAGACTACTGTCCTTATAATGTAATATGACATTTCTCTTCTAAAGGCTGTTGTTTCAAGTTATGCCTTGATCCTCGTAGGTATAGTTAAGAATAATAGTTTATCCTAATTTGATTTCCCCCATCTTGTCATGCATTTTCTAGAACGATAGTTTTTATAACTAACGAGTCGGAAAATATCCTTACCTTTAGTTTTGGATGGATTGGTTATACCAGCTTGTTTGAACGAAAATTATTCTTGGTTGATCTTAAAAAATATTTTTGGCAAAAGAACCAGTTTTTCCTCGATTATTTTCTTCATGGGAGGCCTGTAATTTTAGAAGTTGTTCATCCTTGATAGATAGGGGCAGGACTTGATCTGTAATGACCTTGAATCTCATACATATGCATTATTATCCCTCTTGATATCTTACCTATTGTTTATAGTTTATTTTTCATGGTTGTAATTCAACCAGGCCCATAATTTATGAATTTCATTCCTGTCCAAATATAGAATATATGGTTATATAAGTTGAAAGAATCTTACTATCAAGTCTTTTGAAAATTCGAGATATCAACAAGGAGGACGCTTCATGAGGTAATTTCATTGAAGCCTGATGCCAAGGTTATAAGAATTTGTGGTCTTTTCCATAAAAGCATCTTATCTTGAGCTCTGATGCTTTGCCTGACCACTTTTGTAGGCTGATCTTCATGTGTAAATGTCCTAAAAAGGTCGAGGTTTTTTTTTTTTTTTTTTTTTTTCTTCTCTATCATTCATGTGACACTCGAGCAAAGGAGTGATACATGAATGAGTTGAGATCACATCCAAATAAGAGAGATCTTGAGGATAGGATAGATAGGATAATTAGGGAGCTTAAAAAAATTGGAAATCATTGCCTATACTAACAAGGTGAACTTTCCTTTTTGGTGGCTCAATCATAAGGACTCCAAAGTTAAAGCGTGTTTTGTTTGAAGTAATTCTAGTTGGGTAACCTCTTGGAAATTTTTTGAAGATACATGTGAGTGAGAATAAAGCATGTTGAAAGGATTCATGTTGGTCTGAAGGATAATATTCACTCTAAGAAGCAAGAAGTAAGTAAAGTGACCATGTTGCAGGGGATGTAGGAGAATGTTGGGGTACACAGGTGCCAAATCCGAATTTTGAATATTGATCTGAATCCTGGGTATGAGGCATTATAAATGATATTAGAGCGGTACCTCTCTTAATAAGATGTGGGGGACCAAATAAGGTGGAAGTTGGTGAGCATGTAACACCCAAGTAAAAGAGGGGTATATGAATGAATCGAAACCATATTCAAATAAGAGGGATCCTGAAAATAGGATAGTTAAGAAAGATTTAAAAGAATCGAAAGTCACTATCTATACTAACAAAGTGCATATTCCTTTTTTGTTCAATAGCTCAATCTTAGGAACTTCAAAGTTAAGTTTACTTTTGCTCAAAATTTTCCTAGAATGCATGGGAGTGAGAACAAAACATGCTGGAAGAACTTGTGTTGGTCTATGAGAATAACCTTCACTCTTAGAAGCGATAAGCAAATAACGTGACTATGTCACATGGGAATGTGGAATGTTGGGACACATAGGTGCGGAAGGAGAATTTTGAATCTTGATCTGAATCCTGGGTACAGATCTTACCATTCGTGTCAACATGAACATAACAGTTTCTAAGAGAAAAATTGTTGCACCGATTGCAACAAAGAGATTGATTATTATTATCTATACGCATATTCATTCCCTTTTGCCATGTGAACTTTCTTCCATATCTTTCATGACTAAATTAATAAAAAATATTCTTGAATGGTACACGTTCGATTTCCAGGTGGTTTATCATAGTAACATCAAAGATTCTCTCATTAGAGAAAAAGTTAAAGATTCTGTAGCCTTAATACTTTATAAAAGAAACGATGTGGGTGTTATGGGTACAAAGTAATTGAAGAATGTTCCAAGAGATAGATAGATTGGAATCTAAGTGCAAAAAGCTATGACTTTTTTTTTTTTTGGTTCTTTTTGTTTTTCGTAAATCAAATTAGATGAGTTTTTAATAAAGTGGCAAGTGTCCAATATTCCTTTTCTTTAAACCAACATAAAAAACAAAAAATTTATTCCCCGGGTTAGTATTTGGTTAGGTCAAGCAGTTGAATTTTGTCGAACAAAAATATCGAAGTCTTAATTTTATGAAATTATAGATGAAAATATATATTTAAAAGGTTTAATACTTATATTATTAATATAATGTTCACATTCGTGGCAGTTTTTGTAATATAGTGTTAATGTTGTTTTACTATTTAAGGTTTAGGGTTTAAAGGTTGATGAAAATATTAGCTATTAAAACATTATCACGGTGTTGGATGATGACTAAACTTAGTCGTGCCAATAGATTGGTAAATTCTCAAATATCGAACAAAGAACTCCAAAAGAAAAAGGAGCCAAGCCTCCTCGAAGGCGGTAAAAAATGACTAAGACTCCAAAGGAGTCGAGCCTCGATTAAGGGGAGACGCACTTTGTTCGAGGGGAGGTGTTGGATGATAAAAGTCCCACATCGGCTAATTTAAGGAATGATCATGGGTTTATAAGTGAGGAATACTAACTCCATTGGTATGAGACATTTTGGAGAAGCCCAAATCAAAGTCATGAGAGCTTATGCTCAAAGTGGACAATATCATACCATTGTGGAGAGTCGTGTTCGTCGGAGTTAAGCCTAATAATAACATAATTGTATTTATATATTTTAATAATAATTTTATAAAGAAGACAAAATTTATTCTTTATAGTTATTTTTTAAAATTTAGTTTTCATTGAACTTTAACGTTCGACAACATAAATGTCAAAATTTGAATAAGTGTTCAAACGATTCGGTAATAAAAAGAATTTGATGAACCAATAAGTAGTACTATTTAGGTCTGAGTCTTAATAAATAAAAAATTTATAGTTATTTTATTTTATTTTGCTTGTCATACACTTATTTATACATATATTTACTATAAATTTATTTTATTTTATAATTAATTTGTTATTATTTATTCTCTAACTCTATAAAAATAAATAATTTCAGCTAACTAATCTAATATTTTATAATCGTCAATAGGCCATTTTGAATTTTATTAGCCCATATAATATGGGCCATAATTGAGGCCCATATAGTAGGACAAGTACAAGCCCAGCCCAGACAGTTGAAGAAACCCGCCCCCCGCGTTTTCTTCCATTGGAGCAAAGAAAGTTTTCGCGCCTTTGTTTGTACTCTATAACTTCTCAGAAGAAGCTCAATCTTGTTCCATTCATCATCAATCTCTTTTTGAATCTCTTTCTGGAGATGGCAATAGCGAATAAGAAGATTTTACCATTAATCATTCACTCGACTTGAACGAGTCGAAGCCTCAACAACTGGGCAATGCTCTCTGTAGTAGGAGACATCTTCAGATTTGAAGCACTTTCTCGCCGGTTTTTGCAATATTGATGTCTGGATTGCAATCTGAAGAGCATGTAACTCTATTCATCTTTGATTTTTTTCCTCAGAAGATTGCCCATTAATTAGTGAAGTTCGGTTTGATTGTAGGAGATAAATATGTGTGTGTGTGTGTGTGTGTGTGTGTGGTTTTTCAAATTTTTTGGCTAATTGGTAATTGAATTTCTATGAAGCCATTAAGATCGAGTTTAGTTCAAAAATCTTGTTCTAAGAAGTTCTCAAAGCTTCAACACCATCCTTCGATGGTGATCATCTTATTGATGCCCATATTGTCGAGACTGGTTTCAGTGAAAATATATGCCTCTCTAACTTCCAGGTCAGTAACTTTCTACGGAGAGGAGATCTTTTCTACGCACATCAGGTATTTGATAAAATGCCTTGCAAAACCACGACCTCCTTGATCGTGATGATTTCTGGTTACCTTAAGTTTGGCAACTTATCTTAAGCTAGAGAGTTGTTTGATGGCATGGTGGAACGTAGGGCAGTGTTATGGACAATTCTGATTTCTGGGTGTTTGCAATCTAACCAATCTAAAGAAGCATGTAGGCGTTATGCCTGATATGAGAAAGGGAGGGAACGAACCAGATAATGAGATTAGTGACTTTTTTATCAGGCTGTGGTGAATTGGAAACTAAGCATTTTATTATTCAAATCCATGCCCATGTCATTAAACTTGGATACGAGTACCACCTCTGTTGAGGATTGTTGGGAGTGAGTCCTACATTGGATAATTAAGTGGATGATCATGAGTTTATAAGTAAGGAATACGTCTCCATTGATATGAGACCTTTTGGGGGAAGCCCAAAGCAAATCCATGAGAGTTTATGCTCAAAGTGGACAATATCATACCATTGTGGAGAGTTGTGATTCTTAACAACCTCATGGTTTGCAACTCGATGGTTGATGCTTATTGCAAAACCTGTTGCTTTTATTTAGCTTGCCAGCTCTCCAAGCAAATGATAATTTAAGACACAGTGACCTTCAGTGCCTTAATGACAGATTATTCAAATGAGGGGTTGATGGAAGAAGCAATCAAATTCTGTGTCGTGTAGTGCTTTAATCTTAGCTTATGCACAAAATATCATTTCAGCAGATGATTCAGTCACTGTGGTTTTGTTGAAGAAGCTCTTTGGCACTTCAATTCCATGACTCAAATTTATGAAGTCACTCCAAAGAGGGAACACTATGCATCGATGGTTGATGTATTGTGTCAAAATAGAGGATTTGATGAAGCCGAGAAGTTGATGGCCCAAATGCCATTTGAGTCTGATGTGATTATGTGGTTTAACTCATGCAGAAGTCATAAGAATCATAAGTTGACTAAGGAAGCAGCGAATCAGCTTTTTAATATGGAAGAGTTTCGAGATGCTTGTCGTTATATCAACCTGTCTAATATTTATGCTGTAGCTGGTCAGTGGGACAATGTTTCAAAGGTCAAGAAGGTGATGAGGGACCGAGGGGTTAGTAAGGTCCCAGCCTATAGTTGGGTTGGAATCAAACATCAGACTCATGTATTCTCAGCGACTGATAAATCACATCCCCCGACGAAGAAGATTTTGGGGAAGATTGATGCATTGACGATGCAGATGGATAAGAAAGGATATAAACCAGACATAACTTGGGCCCTTCATGACATGGATAAGGATATCACCATTGAGTTTCTTTAATACCGCAGCAGATGCTTATCAATTGCATTTGCTCTACTCGACACACCAGACGGGTCACCAATAGTTTTAATGAAAAATTTGTGAGCGCGAGACTATCATGCTGCAAATTGCAATCAAGGTGATCTCACAGATTGTTATAAGGGAAATTACTGTAGAGATTTGAGTAGGATTGATCATTTTAAAGATGGTTTTTGCTCCTGTAAGGATTATTGTTGACCATAAAATCTCTAGATGAACAGTCTAGATTGTCGTCAAAACAATCAATTTATGCAATCATTCTACAGACAAACGTAGAGCTGCTTATCTACGGTAAGTGTTGTTTCCTCATGCTGTGTTATTGAAAAATTCCATTTAATTGGTTGGTTGAGAAAAGTTTGTAAGATGGTACTCTTAACAATTTATCCATCAACTGATTCTTCATATAAGCTTAAGGTTTTGTTTCATTTGATTAGCAATTCTACCGTGCAGAGAATTATTTGCTGTGTGTGACTCTTTCCTCAAAAGCTTATTCTCCTGCATGTTGTTAAATAGAATTCAGCAAGGTTCACAAGGCATTGTGCATGATATAATTTCTAAATCTAATATTTTTCTTCTTATTATCCATATGATTGTTTTTGGTTGTCACGAACTTGGAAATGATTATCAAAGCTACAATGACCTTCATGCAATGTTTTTATAGACAGATGAACAGTTTTAGATTTGTTCTACATCTTTGATCTTTAATATGAATATACTAACACAAGGCACATGTGAAATGGAAATGCATCAAGTAAAACCTGATTCTTGTTCCATGAAATAAAAGGGGAATTTCCTTTCTCCATCCATGTCTTCTCTTGTAAGTTGGTTTGCTGTTAAGTATTAACTATCTCTTGGGATTTCATTATCCTTATATTTGTAGTATATAGTGCTTTGAAAAGTTTTATTTGTGCCGTTGAAACATATAAGACATATGACAAACTGTTCTTCGCACATTGTGCCTTGAATCAATTTGTTTGATGCATAAAAATTAGCTATGGAAAATAGTTTCTATTCTTCGTAGCATTCCTGAGCGTTTGATTGAAACAACTCAATATGTTTGCAATTTGAGGTATCTCTCTGTTTTATTCTTTTGCTCCACAGTTGCGAGGTCATTGATAATAGTGTTCGCAATTCACTTGGTGTAATTGCGTGATGATGCTGCATTTTGACAATAGTAGCAACCCTTTCCTTTTACTACATTGCTGTTTCTCTTTTTTATTACTTCTACGTCATGGCTTCTGAACTACTGGTTTTTCTATTGTGAAAGGCCGACATGTACTGTTTTAAGAGCAGAGGGTAGAAAGAGTGCCAAATGAATTACGAAAGGGGAAGAAAGTTTGAATCCTGAAAGGAGACACTTTCGCTTTCTCAATTGGTGCATTCTATCTTCCCACTTGTTACATTTCACTATTTCAGCCTTTAAAGCCCTGTTGATGTGGCTAACATAATTGAGAAGATTGTGGGGGAATTTCCTTTTGAAGGTCCTTCAATGGAAGGCTGTACACTTCATGTTATCTTGGTGGGTCTTGGAATTGGTAACATTGCTATGATGGTGACGAAATAGTTTCATTGGAAGCTACACTTCGACATAAAATCATTAGAAGTAATGGAGGCTATCGACTGTCATCCCTCAGGTGGTTCGTGGCTTAATTCATTATGGAAACTCTAAAAAGTCTGTGGATTAAAACTATATACAAAGGGCTGGAGGAGAGGCTGATATTTAAAAGAGGTGATTGTTCCGGGATGAGGTTTCTCTTGAGGATTGTTGGGAGGGAGTCCCACGTTGGCTAATTTAGGGAATGGTTATGGGCTTATAAGGAATACATCTCCATTGTTATGAGGCCTTTTGAGGAAGCCCAAAGCAAAGCCATGAGAGCTTAAGCTCAAAGTAGACAGTATCATACCATTGTGGAGACCCGTGATTCCTATCAGTTTTGGAGGGTCGACTCCTTTATAGTGTTTTCCCATCTATCTATGCAGTTACTAGAAGTAAAAATCAAAATAATGAGCTAAGGGAATTCTTTTGGAATTTTGAGTTCAAGAGTCATCTTCGGATTTGGAATGAAGTGTAACAACCCAAGTCCACTGCTAGCAGATATTGTCATTTTTGGACTTCTTCTCAAAGTTTTTAAAACGTGTCTACTAGGGAGAGGTTTCCACACTCATAAAAAAATGTTTCGTTTTCCTCCCCAACCGATGTGAGATCTCACATCAAGATTGGAAAGTCTGCTCGCAAAATATGCATATGATTTTAAGCCTATTGCTCAGTCATATATATGAGATTACCGTGTTATTTCTTTTAAAGTTCTATTTTGTGCATCTAGTTTTCCTTGGTTCGCTTCAGGGACTCTATTAATGCTTCAAACTAGAACAAAGTTATCCTGAAGACGTGCGGATTCGCCAAGTTTCTTGTGTCAGCTGCTCTTGCTGGTGCTCCTGCATGGGATTTCAGACGTACTCTTTATGAAAAAAAAAGTAACCCAAATTGAAGCAAAACTCTCTGTTTGAGAGTCGAGACAAGCTTGGGAGATCTACTGTTGATCACTTCCAAGGATTGCGTAGTGTATCAGCTGCAACATTGACAAACCAATTATTAATTGAATATTGGTTGATGGGGTTAGATCTTCTTTTCCCTAAGAACCATTTACTAATTTGAATTCTCTCTTTCATCTTGTTCAAGATTATTGCCTTGAAAGTTGTGGGAAATGCCATTACTTGCTGCTTTAAATAGATGTGCATTCACATGGAAAATACCAGAGCCTCGCGTACTTGCTAATGAATTCTTCTGAAATTGACATGACAGGTCCACTTCAGGAGCTTGCGCACCAGAACTTACAGGTTTTATTTCTTTACATCTTCATCTGTCTTCTTCAATGTTGTGGCGTGCAGAATTTTATCATCGTTTTAATAAGATCATCATCTCTTCAAAGATTCTAAAACCTCTGCTGCAAGAAACCAACTTTTGCTTACCCATTCAACTATTTCTCTTTAGACTTCCACTTTACTGTTCTGCTGCTTAGGGAATCTGACGTCGTTTTTGCTTGTCTTTGCCGTAAAAAACATTCAATTTCTTGAAATAGTGAAGCACAACAAAATTCGAAAGGGCATAAGGAAATTTCATTTTTTTAGTTTCTGGATATTTGTGTTTTCTCTGGTCTTCTACTAGTAGACAAAAGGAATCTCATACTCGTAGCTCACCGTGGGGATGCGTTGTGCTGCCCCAAGCTTGGAAGTTCTTCCCTCCCTCCCAATAAAAAACATTATACTTTTATTTTAAAAGAGTACTCAGCCATCTCATTAAGACAGGCGCCATTCTTTAGGAGAAAACACATCCAACCTATATCTAATAATTTAAACTACTACGGCCATTGAAGAAGACGAGGGAATCTCTCTCTTTAAACAATCAATAAAAATCTATAATAACAACAAAGTCTTGGAGATTCGAGGATTTGAGAAGACATTAAATTTACTAATGGGGCATCGAGTTCATTTGTCAATGGATGCCATTAAGAACAGCCCCACTTGAAGGTTCTGCTCTAGCCGGTTGAATTGGATTGAATACCAAAATAAAAAACACTTTGCTTGCTGTAATGGATGCTAAGTTTGTTTTGTTTTTGTTAAAGAATCACGGATCTATGGTATGATATTGTCCACTTTGAGTAAAGCTCTCGTGACTTTACTTTGGGCTTCTCCAAAAAGCTTCAGGCCAATGGTGGTGTATTCCTTACTTATATACCCATGATTATTCCATAAATTAGTCAATGTAGGACTTACTCCCGACGATCCTCTACAATCCTCTACCATGTATGATTTCTACCATGTATGATTTGCAAATTGTTTCATTTTCCCCAGTTTGGACTTAGCTTCTAGTTTTTGATATGGAAACACCTAAAATACCCAAAAAAATTTAAAAAGTTCCCCACTTTCCTCCTCCCTTCCTTCAGCCCCATGATTACTCGGTAGGATTGGATTACAGAAGCATGGCACACAAAAAGTTGAAACTCAAATCGCATTGAAAAGGTGGAAATTAAAAAGACATCTTTCTTTCTTTTTTTCTTTCCTCTGTGGAAGAGTAGAGTAGTGTAGTAGTAGTAGTAGTTAAATTTGCCCTTTTTTCTTCTCTTTTTGACTCAATCTCGTTGCTTAAACAGAGTCCAAAGTAACCCAAAAACGAAACAAATTCAACTTTTTTTCAGCCATTAGAGAGTGGGGAAGCTCTCACAATTCACACCCCTCTCACGTGAGCTTCATAATATGAAGAAGAAAAGCCTAAGCCTAAGCCTAAACCTAAGCCTAAGTCACTACTGCTCTCTTCCTGATCTGTACTTTCCGTACCATTTGAAGAGACTTGAGTGACTCCACTTGAACACGAAGAACAAGGCTGAGAAAATTCCCCACCATTCTCCTCCACCCTCAACAAACCCATTACACTTCCCTGCGCCACTTTCCTTCCCTCTTTCTTTTTAGGCCTTCTTCTCTTCTGAAACAAAGAATACACAGCCCAATCCTCCATTTCCAGCTGCATTTTAGGAACAAAACAAAACAAAACAAAACAAAACAAAGTAGGAAATGAATCAGTTCTTTTGATGGAAAGAAGGGCAGTGTTGTAATTTGGCACGAGTACGTCCATGGTCAAACTTGTCTGTTACCTGTGTTGAGTTGGGAGTTGTTGTTGCAGAGACAGAGCCAGAGCGTGGCAGTCGATATTCATGCATGACCCACCGAGTCGTTGCTGTTCTTTCAGACACTTTTGACTCATAAAAAACCAGAGATTTCCTCAGCCCAACCACCTTGTTAATGCCCTGGTTAACAATCAACTTCTCTTTCCCAGTGGACTTCCATATCCCACACCCAGTGTTTCTCCTCAACAAACTCCTCTGTTTGCTAAAAAAGAATCTTTTTTCCTTAAAATCCCCTAAAACCCAACAACAAGAACATCAAGAACAACACGGAATCCAATCAATTCATAGAAATTAAGAAACTGAAACTCAGTAATGAGCTGAATTTGAATTTGAATTGTTATAGTTGTGTTACCAGGAAAGGCCGATGGATCTGTGAGGAAGACATCAAAGTCGGGAATGACCGAAGCAGGGAGAGGCAAATCAAACGCCTTCCTCTTCAAGTAGTGCTCGACCAGCTCCTCATCTGTGGGGCAAAATCGATACCCAACAGGTAATCTCATCATCCCTCCATTAATGACAAAGTTTGAGGTCTTCTCCATTGCAAAAAATTAGAGTAAGTATTGCACAACAAACCCTCTGTTCTCTGATGATGAAGATTAGATTTCAAAGAAACTCTGAAATATAAATGCAAAAGAAAGAAGAACCCATGTGGGATTGGTTTGCTCTGGTTTTTATAATAATCTGGACTGCAGGAGAGAGAATAAGAACAAGAGAGAGAATAAGAACAAGAGAGAGAAAGAGATGAAGG